GCACCACAGAGATGAACAGAGAAATGGGGCCTCATTTGGGAAGGCTCAGAACACTTAATTCTTTCTTATTAATAAGCCTCGCCGCTACACAAGCTTTAATCCTTTAATACAAAATACACCTGAGGTAAACAAATATTCATCAGTCAAATTGGGGTGACGAAATAAAATGTAAAAATGTTTTTTCAAAATATATTATGAACTTTAAAACTGTAAAAAAAATACATTTTACTAACACATGAATATTTTATTCTCCATGGAATTTCTCTCCGCTTTGGTAGGTTACAACATGAAACATGACCATTCAATTTCATCAAACTGTGAGCGCAGAGTGAAAACATAAAAAAAAATGATCTGCACTTGGCCTTTTGGAAAAGAAGCATCAACAGCAGACAACATTTTGACCCTAAGCCGCGTATCCTGAGAGTGACGTTATGCGAGGGTGTCTCACGCCACACTTTCTTGACGTCACAGAAGTGCGGACTTGGAGCAAAGGCTCAGGGTGCAGTGCAAGAATTGGGATACTGCAAAAATCACCGTACATGATCACGTGATTGCTCAATCACTATATCAGAAGCGACTTTCATCGGCACAAATAGCCAGCAATAAACAAATTCGTTGGGTTTCATCGTTTGTGCTGTTTGGGAGAGACTTCACGGAGCTTTGAATTTAAGACAGAATTGTACTTTATCTTCGGACTTGTTTTTGTTGTATTGAGGTGGCTGTCAGTCACAGATTAGACAATCTAAAAACTAAAAAGAAATTCTAACATTGTCAAATTAGCAATCATGCAACTTTTTGTTTTAAGAGTAACCTGTTGCAGTACATTCTGGCTAAAAGGAGAAGCACATACTTTTTAAACATTGTTTTTTATTTTTCTGTCCTCCTTGAGAGGCGTAATTTGGTAAACAATGCTGAAAATATTCAGGTCAAAAATAAGGGTACTGTTTGAAATGAAGCTACTGTAGGTACATAGCAAACTGCTGTGGTGGGTATTCACACATCTTTTGTATTATTGCACATTAAATAGGAAATCTAGCCCAACCCTTTCCTGGTACAGCCAATCAGTTGAATCAGTTTTTCCAGTTGTTCAAGTGTTGGGAACAAACTGGAATAAATCCAGAACAGTTAATCATTCTACCTATATTCTTTATACAACAGGACGGA